AGGAATTATTTGAACAACTACTGGAGAGAAAACACGTACGAGTACACAAGGAGAGGACAACACGGTGTATTATGTACAACAAAAAACTGCCTTTCCCCCAAAAAACTTCATCATTATCCTCCAAAATTAAATCCTGAGACGAAAACACGTGAGTGAGGGATTGATAGAATAACATCAATAGCTAATAAATATCTATTTATTAGCTATTTATTAGCTCTTGATAACATTATTATCCCCCTCCGTCGCCGACGTCCTTTCGTCGAAAATAGACGTCCACGCTCTCTCCCCTACAAGGAACCACCACCTCATCTTCCCCCCACCCCCACCCCGCCGGCAATCTCCCACCGTGTTAATTACATTAATGATAGTCTCCATAGCGGGAGGTTACTGTCACAAGCAGGCGGAACTGTTAGTCATGAGCGGTAAACAGCAAATAGATTCTAGCTTCTATATTAGAGCGACGGCCGGTAGATTCTAGCCACTATATTAGAGTGACGGCCGATAGATTCTAGCCACTATATTAGAGTGACGGCTTGTAGAATCTATCGACGTGGTGCGAGCGATCGACGGCTCACCTCGTGGGTGGGCGAGGAAGCGTTAGATGCATTACTGCTCGGTGCGGTGTTAGCTCCGAGCGGAGAGGGCGGCGCCTCCGGCAGCTCAACCTTCACCATGTCAACCTCGATGCACTGCAACACCGCCAGCAGCAGCAGCAGCATCAGCATCAGCGACAGTGAGGGTGTTACTAGCAGCTATACCTAACTACCTACATGGCTACACTGCCAGCAGCAGCAGCAGCAGCAGCAGCAGCATCAGTGTTACTAGCAGTTAAACCCAACTACCTGCACAGCTACGCTACCTACCACACTCCGATATACAGTCATTATGAAGTCTCTTGGACTGACGCTGACGAATGCAGCATTCGTATTAAGAAATTTAGCTTTCATACTAAGAAATCTAGCATTCTTACTAAGAAGTTTAGCATTCACACGCTATTAACACGGGTTCGTTAGCACAACACGCCAGTAAAGCATTAATTGTTCGCTGCATTCATTCATTCAATTCGCTGCATTCAATGCGCGCTACTGTTAACATAGCAACTGTTAGTTTGGTGTATGTAATTGTAAGAGCTGTTTTGCCTGGTAGTCAGGCGAGCTTATGTAGCCTGCCCAGAGAAGAGAGAGGGAGAAAGAGAGAGAAGGAGAGAGAGAGAGAGAGAGAGAGAGAGAGAGAGAGAGAGAGAGAGAGAGAGAGAGAGAGAGAGAGAGAGAGAGAGAGAGAGAGAGAGAGAGAGAGA